AGCAATAGAATGTATTCTATACACAAGCGGGCAACACCAACAATACGCCATGCAAGTTTCGTCAACTTCGTCGATTTAATCAACGACCATCAAGGTAACATACTGCGGAGTTGTTGAGTATTGGAAAACTTAAAGTTTATGAAAACAATCATGTGTACACATTCTGAAAACAAATACATATTCAACTAAAAAAAATTGTATAAAAATGAAATGAAAAAACCCACATGACATGTTTTTTAACGATAAAAAACAGATCGAAAAAGTGAAGTGGGTCACATTGTTTGTGTTTGCACACTTATCCGCCCTCCGGTTATTTAGGGCAGTACCGTATCGGATTTGAAAATCAATTCAAATAGACACAAAGTATTTGCGCGACGATGACGGCGGTGAAACGTGACACGAGTCGTTCGTGCGTTGCACGCTCGCGAACGATTGAGCATCGCATCGAACGCAAACGGTGCGTAAAAATGATAACAGCCAATGTGCACAGGCATCGACAGCAGTTCATAATCGACCGGAATTAATACCCAATCATATTCCGACAATTCGCACAAAAAGGAAGTGAATTAACGTGTTTATAACCAGTTAAAACATGTTTTCACTCTAGAAAGATAAAAACGGTACCCATTGTACTCACAAGATGTCACTCCATGTGTCAATTTATTTACAACATGCAATAAAATAAATATATGATGATACATGAAACTTTATCGATACTATAATTGCCTTGCGTCTGATGACTTAATGGATTCTTGATTGTTTTTTATTGTGCGCGAAGACTACTAAATTTGATTAGGTTAATATTTGGCGACGGCGCCCGTGATGCAAACATGACGTTCACAATGTTGGAACAATGTTGCGAGGGCAATTTCGGCTTTAGACTGGATCGCGACGGCGGGTCGCGAGCATCAGCGCTGATGTCTTAATGGATTATATAATTACGCGCGGCATTATAACGTTATAATATAATCGCTCGGGATTACGTATCTGCGCGCGTTGCGTCGTTCGTGCATATCGCCGAATTCATACATTATGGGCGCGTTTAATCGCTCCTCGTGATCCATTTGAATTAGCGGCGCACGTTTTTCACAGGCAATTTGTTCAACAAGAGTCTGGACCGAGCGATTAACTTGATTAACTCAATTAAGTCACACTGTTCCACAGACAATAATAAACAACTTTAAAATGAAATATTGCCCAAGTTTTTCGAAAGTTCTGTCATAAATGTTCCCAAAAACTTTGTTATTTGACATTTCAACCGCTTCTTGCTAAAATGCATAACTTTAAACTTGTTTTTCACTTATAACTGGAACGAATCCTGACCTACTTCTAAAATGTCCACGATGTTAAAGTAGTTCATAATTAACTTTTAAGTTTACAATGTGTCAAAACTCTCTTTTCTGTTTAATGTCGTTGTGAGTTTTCTAATGTGTCTTGAAGCACATGCGAGAACTCATTTTCTGCGTCGTTTTCATGACAATAAGTAGCGCGTGCAACCGATTTTGTCTTTACGAGGTCCTTGCCTCATATCCGTTCATATCTTCTACGCCTGTCTGCCAACCATCTTCGTTTGATGGTCTTTGCAAACGTTCTTTTTTATTGCGGTGCTCGTAATTCTGCTTTCTGGAAGTGAGCATCCCAAAAGTGCAGACCTCTGGATTCGTTACGCTTCATTCGCGTCGCATCGTCGTTATCCTTCTGCGGGCCTGCTGTCGCTTTGCTTTTCCGGACCAAGCCAGACGCATTTTATCGAGCTGACGCAAGTAATTAACTGTTAGTTTTACTGTTGCGATTTGGAGCGACGTTTCCGATTTGTCGGCGTTGCAAGTTTTTATTTTTATACTACACAAGACAAGACAAATGACCTAGATGTTGTAGATAAAATTCGGTGTTTTCTTGGAGAGGAAATGACAAAACTCCGGGCGAGTAATTAAAAAAAAAAGATCAAAGGAATGTTGAAGTGATCAGAAAGTCTAACTAAAGTAAAAGCTTGCAGAGGTCAATAGAGTTGAACCAATCCTGCTGGCAGGATTGCAATCCGCCTACAAATTTCGGATTCAGCAAGCGCCCCGTGTATTTCACTTTGTTAGGCAATAAATCACCGAAGCTGTGTATTTTTGAGCTCCAGGAGTGGTGAAATCCGAAAACAGCTTTCTTACCGAACGTGATTCCCATATTTGGTCGAAGTCGAACATGCTTTAGTCATCCGACACCATTAAGACCACCATATTTCTGATAAAGTGATTTTTTAGCGTGTCTAGTGTGTAGAATAACACATTTTTTTCGTAAAAAAACTAATCGTTTTTAGTAGTTTGCGGGCTATTAACCTGACCTATTTTCATGGCTTTTCATGACTTTAACATTCAACCCTCCTCCTAAGTCGAGGATAATTCATTAACGCGAGCTTCCGGCTTCCGTTGTCTTCCAATTGCTGGCGTCCGGCGCCTGTTTTTGTGAACTTTTTCAAGTCTTTGACTCGCATGTGGGGCGGCAGACGATGCGCTAGTTAAACGCGAACATAATTGCTTTGTTTCACGGTTCTGGAGCCCGGCGCCGTCGCCAACCCTCTTTCATGCACAGCGGTGTTGGTGTGTTTGTTGCGTGGCCTAAAATGAAAACAGGGGATAAATCATCGAAACTAGGTTGAGAAAGAGGACACGCCGCAACGAAAATCGGGGTGAAGATGGGGTTAAAACGATATCGGCGAGTACAATGCACTCTTCATCGCGTGGCGCAGCTGAGTATACGGTAGAAACATCCGAATCGATATACGCATTCCGACTTGTCGTCGCCAGCGTCATCACAGGCGGCACTCTAGACCGCGAAATAAGTCAGCAGTAAGAGTTAAGAGCAGGCGAGGGAGGTTAGAGTGGCGACGATGATTTTTTTAATCCAACGCCTTTGTTCTCAAGCTGCAGTTTGCACACGCAGATATTTACATTCTTCTATAGCGCTGCTCCACTTTGCGCGTAATTTAATAAAGCAAATATTCATCAAAACTTATTGGTACAAAAATACTGCTTTGGTATAAAATATAAATATATTCAGAATTATTTTCTTTGTAATAAAATTAAATCTTAGCTTGTAAATCTTGAAAATTGAACAAAAGCATTTTGTGCGCTTTATTAGATCAGCGCGAAATTCAGCTGGGACTATTTTTAAAACAATTAGGAAGGATATGACGGTGTTGCCGGTGTTCATGAATAATTCAACGTTCATCTTCGACGCCTTTAGTGCAAGATTTCGGAAAAAACGTCTGCGTCAACAAAAACTACGCCTGTCTAGGCGATGGTTAACATAAATTATCATTAAATGTAACCTAGAAACCCAAACCGACCACAAAAAGGTTTTGCAAAATCAAAAGCAATTCATTTGAGCGTTCTGGGACTTCGATTGGACACAACTCCCATCGAAATATCGAAATCTAGAAATGGAAACCTCCGAGTTACAAAGTTTGCGCCAAAGCGAGTAAGCAGTTATTACTTACTGCGGACTGTGCAAACTGTGTCGCAGGCCGACGATATTATTGCGAACATGGGTATGGATGTCCATTCCCGAAAATGGTTTTCGCAAATTGAAAATATGATTCTGAATTCATGGAATTTCATCGCGTTGGAGATTTGCAAACAAAATACACAACCACAGTTCTGGTTGAAAATTTTGTAAGTGTTACCGAGTATGACAAGCGTGTTTTTTTAGGTATTGGATCTTTTACGCATTCGCATTGGAATTGCACATCGAACACGTTCGAAATCGGACTCTGACTACGTGTCGAGAAGCACTGGAGCGCAATCCGGTGCACATGGGATTTTCACTTGTTATTTTCACTCGCGGATTTTTAATTTGTTTGCATTTCCACAGACTATAAATTCGATTGGTAAAAATTCAACAAAATTTTCAACATTTTACCAAAATCAATTGATTGTGAATTTTGAAACCAGTGATATTTCAACAACCAGTTATTGTTTTTGATTTCATCCGATTATTTGCGTAAAATATGAAATATTTATGAAAATATTGTCACGTAATGAAAATTTCAAACAGCAATAAAACCCACCGACATTCGCATACTTTGCGTAACTTTACGCGCACGAAATTCAAAGCACACTTTTAGGGATGTGCGTGAAACGTGACCCTTAAATGTCGAATTAAAATAAAATAACCAAGCTCACATAACTCATCGTAACAACACGATACTGAAAAACCTTTTTAACGCTGGAGAAATTTCATATAAGCAGAAAAAAGATGCAATCATATACAAACCTAAAGATTATATTTATGTGTGTTTCAAAAAGTTTTCGCAAGAAAATTCTTTGGAACCTAATCCATGGTATGAGACGCTTTATTTATAGATAACTGTCAAAGGAGTGTTTTATAGCGTGCCCTAACTGTTTTAGTAGCACTTTCTCGCGAAAACTTGGAAAAATAAACGCAACCAAACAAAGTAGAACCAAAGACAGACAGAAAGAAACTTGAGGAACAAACTCTGCGTGATTAATGTTCGCTCTTGTTCATTATTAACACATCCTTTCAAAGATTTCTTTCGTTTACTCGCTCTAGCCCGTAAAAAAATGCTATAAACATTGTTTTGTTGTTTTCTAACGCATCTCAGACGTTTGCGGTGTGAATTATTGCAAGCTTTATGTTTAGTTAAATATTCAGTACTTAAACGTGCGATGTGGTTTATATTCAGTGCAATACAGGTAACCCGCCTCTAGGGGATGAAAAAAAAAAGAAAAAACCCTTCGTCGAGATTGCTTCAGAAAGGTAGAAACCTTTTACGGCACATCAAACGTCCCACATTTTTGTTTGGACGTTTATATTATGCATAAGACGCGTGTTATTAAATCCTTGCTGGTGGTTTTTCTTAAAGCAATTTCCGTCTGCGATTGCGTTCACTTTTCTTGTCTGCTGCAGGCGTAAACATTTGCAAGTGACATTTCTGAATACACGTGCTATTTGTTACGTAGAAGCTTATTGATTGGTTGAAAAGTACTTACATGACGATTTTTAATGTTTGAACATTCAATTAGAGTATGTTATCGCTGGTGGCAAAAAGAACGCCGCAAAGTTTGTGTTTTTTGTATGTTTTTTTGAAAAGCGCGCGCGCGAAAGGGATGAAACGAGCACACGATGCGAGAGCAGCTCTCCGAGCCAGTGCTATTCTACTCGCAGCAAAAGCACAACTGACGAGAGCGCACCCCCGAGCGCGCGAGAGCAGCAGGCTCACAGCTTTTGCCAGCCGAAAGCTCAAGCGCCCGCTTGCGCCGCGGGCCAACATTCGCATTCGGTATGAAATTTCCACGCAAAACAGACGGGCACATCATCTCTCCCTCTCGCCGTTCGCCGTCGGCGCGTGCAGGTATGAAGATATTTCTGAGCATCACACACGCGACGCTGTTTTCCACATTTGCAAACATGCCATATTACATGTTCAATAATGAGGCGAGTCGTTATCAAATGTGGAAAAACTGGCACAAACAATACAACAACAAGCCGACGGGCAGACGGGTGTTTTAAATTATGCTTTTCAAAAAAAAGCTCAAAAAGCTCAGACGTTTGACCTCAGTGGGAGCTAAAGGCATACTTGACGTGTAATATTAAATCGCACGAGGTATTTTTTCGTTTGTGAGTGACCTTTTAGAAATTTCATTGCGGACCAATTTGAACATAGTTAAAAACTTTTTCTAAAACAAAACGCAGACAAGCGAAAACACCACCCGAACAGAAAATATAGTGAACATAGTGTTTCATAAGATACGATTCGACAAACAGCAAGGGAATTTGATGAAGGTTTTTATCGAAAAACTGTCTACGTCTAAAAGTGCATTAAACAACGATACAAAGTAAAACTTTCCATTTACTTATTCTGTGTTGGAATTGAAGAAATAAATCAATTTACAGTCGTAGCATGTGGTTATCTATAATGATAATACGTTTAATTGTACCCAGTCGCCAAGTCGAGTTCGATAATAATCAAATTGAGGGCGGAATGCAACTGTTCAGCTGTTCAATCACGTTTGAAATGCTTTCAGTAAATTGAGTTAAGTGAAAACCAATCTCCAGGGCGCAGAATTTAGATCCAACCATTGCAAATGACTGATGTAATCAATGTCATTTATTTATGTAAAAATTAACAATGTAGTTGATATGTATAGAATTTATTTGCGCAGTTTGCAAATAAGAGTTTTGCTTTGATCTCGCCGGCGTTCGACGAAGCGGCAAAAGAAGAAAACAATCCAGAACGTAATATTGCACAAAGCGAACGTCTTGAACCCCTAGAGTCTTGAAGGTGCGCAATGTTAATGGCGTTTTGGCGACAAGACACGCACGATTTCTGACTCAACATCAAAGAAGCAACTTATTCGTGTATTCTGACCCTGTGCACTTTAATTATTTTCCTAGTCAGCGCCTTTATTAACAAAAATTTCTACGAATTCCCCAGATTGCCCGAATTAAAAATACTAGGAAGTTGTACGAATATTTTAAGTTTGAATTTCAAAGAACTAGCCTTTGAGCGTGAGAGGAATTGATGTTATTGCAGGTGTACTATTCCTGCAACACGTAGGCATCAAAAAGCATTTGAGGTGGTGTAGCGCTGTTTGTTAATGTTTGAATATTCATTCCCGAAGCGAATTTAATTTTCTGCGCTATTTTAACTGAATTCACGTTACGCGTACGTTTATTACCTGGTTTTATAGACTATTACCTTGTGGTTGTCGCTTACATTGTTTATACGTCTCGCATACATAAATATCAGCACTATTAATTTATTTTAAGTTAAGTTTTGACCATCTGGTGAAAAACATCGATCATTTACCAGACGGTGTGCGCGTGAAGTGTGCAATGAGCGTGAATGCCCAGCGCCTCCACCTCTCGGACCTCTCCAAGGGCGGCGTTTATGTAAAACACGTGCCGAGACTTCTCTCTACGCACGATCGCGACGAAATGTGCAAATTGCAACAATTTCGATCGATTGCCGGCGCATAACTTCGACGTGTGCACACGGCCGCAGTCTAATTGCTAGCTCTAGCGATTCTAATTTGCGTTTGGCGAATTGCTGGAATAGCAACGCATTTAATTGCGAGTTGTTTAATTTGCGCTCGTTCGGCTGGTTAGCAATTCGCAAGGACGTCGCGAACACGTCTCAGTTTGATTACTTTGTGATCGCAACTTTAATACCTATTTTAAATGTAACTAAAAGGTCACCTATACAGGAGGTTGCTAATTAATATTTCATTATGTACAAAAAATGTCAAGATTTTAGGCGTTTTTCTATAGAATTTAATATGTAAATCACAAACTCTTGTGGGAGTTATAATAAATGTCAGGATGTTTTATCTTGAACAAAATTCTAAAGTTATTGTAATAATTTCAGACGTTATCTAAATATTAGCTTTGAAAGAAAATCAAGACGTGTTTTTTTTTAGTTATTCATTCATTAGCGACTTTGTTTATCTAAAAAATCAATAGACTAATTAGTCTTCGACATAAATTCAAGCTTGACTAGAAAGGTCGATTTTTATGTTGTTGTGGTTTGTGGTTTAATTTTTATAAAAATCTATATTTGAGTATATTTGTTTAGTAAACACTTGTTTTTCCTTTCTGGTTGCTTTCTGGCAATGTTTGTTTGCATTTCCATTTGCTTTTATTATCTTTTCGACTTTACCACCTGCATTGCAGTACTACAAAAACCGGAAAACGTCACTACACCACAAGGATGGCCGTTTTGTGACTTCCTGTGTACGTACTTTCTCTCTTTTGTTATCAATTTCATTACTTCACTTGCTTACAAATTGTGCTTAGATCTACCACGTTTTATAGCAGCGTGTTTTGTCAACGTGCGCTATTTGCATTGATCGTCTGTCCTCACATCCGCTCGACGGAAGCCATCATTGCATTTTATTACTCGTCACTTGTATAGATTTTTTTGCGAATATTGCAAAGCTATTTCGTTTCAGTTTACGATCCATTAAGTGTCGTTTTGTTGGTTCGATAAGTCAAACGTTACGACCAAATTGCTACTATAAATACATTAATGACTTATTTTGGGCAAAATCGTTGGAATCTTGCGAAAATAACATTTACAATTTAGAAAAATGGTGTCACGTAGATTTTTAACAAGATACTCACGCTTTTAATTGTACACGAATGTAAAACAAACTCACTTCAGCTATTTTTGGTGCATTAATTAAAATGTTTGGTCTCAACGTCGACGAAAATTCCTCCACTGGCTTGTTCGATCGAAAGATAACATTCAAGCAAACGTGCCGTATCGCTGCACAAGTTTTATCAGATACGCGCGTTCAAGTTATGCAAAAATTACTCCCGAAGTGTTCGCACTTCTCGGCAAGAAACGCCGACTAATTAACAACTTCCAATACGGGCAAAAATTCGCCGAGCGCGCGAACTTTGGACACTCGAGTTAAATACAAAAATAAACTTTCCGGAATAAACCCGAAAACAATTCACAATTTAGTTCGGTTAACTTTTAACTTTTGCGCCATCAAAATTATCCAATTTTGAGTTTGTGATCGGGGTTAAATTAAATAGTTTTTGTGGGAATTGTGGGCGTAAATTAGATTTTTGCAGTTTGATGGATAAAATGAGATTCAAATGGAATTGCCTGCGGTTGCTGGTTACCGCTTGTTTGTTGTTTGAGGACGCGTATATTTCCGTATTTCAATTTCGACCTATTCTATTCCAATTGCGCATTTGTGCAGCTTTAACAAACAAAGTTCACTACCAATTGTCATCACGTTGGTCCTAAACGTGATTGTGAAATGCACACTAGGTCATGTACAGGTACATTCAATGTTTATTTGAAGAGTGAAGCTTAAATCAATATATCTGTGTAGTGTTTGTCGCTTGTAATAGCACAGAACAAACATGTTTTGTTATTTGAATATTTAAAAATGCACGCGTTTTTTAAGAAACAAAAAGAACAGTTGGTACGTGCTAGTACAACACGTGCAGTTGGTACTGCCTGATTGTAGCGTTGCATCAAATTTGGCGGCAAATGTGTTAGAAGTGATAAGTGAAGTGCGCGTCGGTTTTATTAAAATTAAGACTTAATTAGACGATATTATCAAGAAACAAGTTGATGTCACCAAGAACATGAATTCGTGTGGTGTAGGTAAGTCCTCAAACAAGCACAATTGTTATAAATCATGTGATGCGCAAAGAATTCGAAGATATAATTCATGGTAACCTTACAAGTATTAACAATCACAGCATAAAAAATGAAAAAACCGTTAAAACTATGGCAAAACTAATAAAATATACTAATAAAAGAAATGAAAGCTTATTTACACATGGAATAATTGAAAACTTCTTGTAGTACAAGACTTAGAAGTAGAAAGTAGTAGTTAATACAAATTTTAAATTGATTGTACAGTAAAAGAATTGAAATGATTTCTGTCGAAGAGATTATCGCAGAAAAATAGTCAAATATAGAGATACAACGTAGAGAAATAAGTAATTCATGGCTAAGCAATGAAATATTTATTCATCGTTCAATTATAATCAACAACCCAAATTAACAAAATGCTCTAAACAACAATAAAATATGACTTACATTGTAAATTGTAACTTGTAACTATGCACTTATAAACATTCAAAAACAAGGTGTATTCGCATTCAAAATTCGAAAGTAAACGCTCTGTCGGTATCTCGCACATAGATTTGTGATATTGTGATGCAAATGATGATACAATCACCAGTTTAATATGAAGGAGACACACGCAATATAAAAATGTACCTAACTAATGTTATGTATAATGTTGAGAAGTGTAAAATCACAAATTTCATGTAACAATTATCCGGCCTTCTCACTTACGCTCTCGTGGTCCAACACAAAATATATAAACGTTCTATGTACATTTAAAGATTTCTACTAACAATATCAATAAATCTGTTCGTATCGTACGTATATATTTTTAAAGTAAGCTGAAACAATTCAAGGTTTCACTGTGTGTTTCTGTGTGTGGTTTCTTTCTTGCTACGATATCTCAGTACCGAACAGGTTGCCACGTTCCCGAATGCTCGTCCCGCCTGTAATAATGCGGACGATTATCCCTGAAGACAGTCACAGCTGGAAACTGATTATCTTGGATGTACTTTAATGTGGCGCGAATCTGAAATTGATATTGATGATGAAGTTGTAAAGTCGGTTTATTACAATCATTATTACCTGCATAACAAAGTGTGGCGGTTCAACTTCGGGCGAAGTCGAGAGGTGCTGCAGAATAAAGTCGTCAGACTGCTCCAGCCACAGGTCTACGCCACGCAGCGGCTCGTAGTTGAAGGGCCCGATTCGCAAGAGGCCCAAATTGCTGTCATAAATGTCCAACACCTAAAAGTCGACGCATTTAGATTATCTCTAAGGACTTGCGTGCGAGGAGAGATGAGGAAATAGCTTACTTGTGTGACGCCAGTGAGAAACTTGGCGCAGCGGAGTGGAAGATCAGGGCCCTTGTCGGGAAACGTGGCCGGAAATATTTCGCCCGTCTTGACGTTCACGCCGACGCCGTAGATCATCGGCCAGAGTATACCGCCGCGTATCGTCGTATTCAACTCGCCGATGCACGCCAGCGTCAGGTCGATCTCCACCGGCTGCTTGTGGAAGGATGCTGTAAAATGCAGCCACAATCATGAGAATATTAGCAACACGAATTCGTCCTACTAAATATCAACTATATTTCTACATCCATCATAACACAACCAAGCCTAAACCTAGATTTGGTACTAAGGAAATATTTAAATTCTTCTAACTGGTACATAAATCAACTGCATTGCTTGTGACGCCTGCATTCGGCAAGATTAATCCCAAGTTGTGCCAAAGTTGTAAACTGTAAATTCCTCGCGCACAAATGATCTGCCTAATAGAACGGCCCTTTTAAAGGCCGAACGGTCAAATGAATATCTACAATTTCCGCGTTTCGAACTTGGGGCTATCTCAAGCTAATAAAGCATTATTCACTTTGAGCGGACTTAAACTTTCGGTCGTAACTTACTCATGATGTTGTAGAAGAGCTCTTCGGAGTAGTGATGCGGGTCACTGTAGCCGCCGACAAGCTGCAGCTCGATGCGTCCCTCGGGATAGCCGAGGGCCAGCTCCTGGACGCGCTGCACCATCGTGGACACTGCCTCATCAGTACCATTTCCATCCAAGTGCGCTAACGCTACTGCTCCGGAACCTAAAATTCAATTACAGCATTAATTGCCTAACATTTACATCACTCAATTTAATGCACCGCGATATTGTCACATGCAATATTCTCGCGAGTAGTCGTATTTTGAAACAATTTCGAAAATTCCACGCTGCACTTGCAGGTATTATTATTATAATGTTAGCATCGGCAAGGTATGCGAAATAAAATTAGATTTAATTCTGGGTTCGCGACGACATCCCATACGCTTCGCCCGCTGCGCTCGTTATTATTATATTATTATTTTCATCGGCGCGCTGCATTGTTCCGCTTTCATCTTTCACGCAGCGTGCGAGCTTTATAATCCACGCCGGTTGTGTTTTAACCTCGAGTGCGGAATATTTGTGCGTGCTCTATTGTCTCGGGCAATAAAATTGATTGCAGAATCAATAATCATCGGTTTGACTCGAAAAGGTGGAGGATATTTTATCTATGTAGAAAAGTGAGCATAATTCAAGGGTCACTTTTCAAAAGCACTTTAAAAGCTCATAATATAACTCAAGCTTTAAACGATATTTATGTGGTACACAAATCAGCACCTAGTAATACTTTTCAGGGTGTTAAAAAACATTCATTGCAGTTTATCAGACAAACAATGGACTGGTACTGACCACAGAAATAAATCGCAATCAATTTCACGCTGGCGATCATATTTTTATAGCGCATAAACGAAAATTCTATAGTATTTTTTAATGGCATCGTAAATTTTCTTTTCATCATGAATTTATTATTTACACTTACCGGAATGCCTCACAACGACGATTATGCATGTGGTGGTATCGTCGGATCCAAGTATACTGACACTCTCTATAAAAATCAGTGTTAAGAATCACATTTTAACCACTTCCGGTTTTTTAATAAAAAAAGATGCAATTTGTGAAACTTACTGTCCATTGGTACAGTGGCGGCTAGTTCACGCTGTTGAACGTACAGGAGTCCCACCGGACCGATGACTTTATTGGGGATGGCAAGCAGCTGAGCGGCGGTGTCCCGATAAACCGGATGCGCGTGGTACAGCGAGCGCGTGTCCGGCGGACACTCCTTCTGCAGCACGCCGTTCAACACGAGCACCATGCTGTAAAACAGTTTGAAATTTATTAGATTTTGTTCGCGGACATATTAAATTATGTGAAAAGTTGTTTTTGCTGTAGAAAAATGAACGCTTCGCAAAATTGCATCGCATTGAAATAAAGTTAATAGCCGCTTATAATCCAATCCACCTGCGTGCTGCAAGACAACGTTAGAGTCTGCGCGGTTGGCGCTCGGACACTCCATTTATCATGACCGACGGGCATGAATAAATTAACATTGTCTTACCGCCGAACAGCGGGATTAGAATGGCATTAAGTGATTTATCATAAAGCGCCGGGAGAAAATCCAATATCCGCATTTTATTGCTCGTCGATTTATTGCGGGAGAAGAAAACTTCACTGCGCTCCGGCCCAGCGCTGAAAATTTTTAGCTTTTTGCAATCGGGCGCACTCTCGCGGAACGAATCGAACATTTTAGCCGTATTAGCACGCATTATGTATGCCATAAACTTCTGATTCCATTAGCGTGCTAATAATACCACTCATTTGCAACAATACCACAATTTCCGTAATAATTTTTACATCGCGATAACTTGTCCAATGGCAAATTCCACATTAATCGTGAATAAACACTAAACGATGATTATTAATAATCATCGTAAATACACGAAGTATTTTACCAACTACCTACCTACCTACTACCTGGTAGGTTGATAGGTTGCGCGTTGTGTGTACATCATTTGTTCGTGCTTCGCTTCCACACAACAAGAAGTCGAATACGTAATATAATAATATTCTACGTGCGCGCGCGCGCAGTGAATGTAAATAAGTAACAAATTAAAATCTCCCCGATTCGTAGACGTGGACGTCCAGCTGCGGCGACACAGCAAACAATTCCCAAGTAACCGGATTGTGTAGGAATAGGAACCGATAGAGAGATGTCGAAAAAATCTAAAATACTAGAAGATTATCACTAAAATATCCAAGTTATTGTATGACAATGCGCATTTGTTTTAACTCTGAAACAGGTTCATCAACAGGTCACGCTGTGATTCTCAATTAAGCAATTTTAAATCTAAATAATATAAACATAATATAGTATAATGAATAGTAATGCATTGAATTAGTCAGATAACTTGTAAGGTTCGTAAGATTCGCGACGTGCACGCATAACTTAATAATAAATTAATGTTTTGAGGTTCAATGAATGAGAATGTACTCATTTACGGCAGATTTTTTCAAATGTGTATAATTTGCGAGCATATCCGCGCCTACATTTCGCGCACAAACACTCCCCGTGCTCGTGCTTGCCAGCTTAGCAGTTTTACAGTTTGCGGGCAATTGAGGCGCGCGGGTTATTAACTGCTCAGCGTAAAGACAAATTGGCGGACCGTTCCGGGCGTCTCGGAGCACATCGCATATAATGCACGTTGCGATGCATTCACGAACGAATTAATCATGACGAGTTAATTTATTGCCGGCACGTCTTAAATATCTCGCCGGGGTTATACATAACAGATCCCACCACACCACCTCTCACCGGATGGGGATTGCGGTAGTCTCGAACTTGTCAAATTGCCACACCACCAGCAGCCGCATTCTTTGTCTGGCGATATTAAATTCGATATTGAATGATATCGACGCTAAATCAACGTCCGATGTAATCGCTGGTAATCGAAATTCAAACCGTGTCATTATTTGATGTTATTAAATATTGAATAATTAGCGTTCATTTTTCACGCCACAAGAGTGAATTTCCATACTGGCGATCTGAAAAAAATTCAATCGGAGCGTATAGTCGGTACCTAACATTAATCAATAAATATCGTCCGGGACTATCCATCTCATGAACGTGTATTAATGGGCGTGTCACTTTTTAAATAGCGAATAATCAAAACCGGATATCCAGGTATCAATATCGCACCGCACGCAATGCGCGCGCGCGCGCGGTGATAAATTGCCATTATACGTTATATCTGTCAGGTTGATGGAGTAAAGTGAATATTAACCTGCACCTTTTAAATGTTACCCGGAGCCACGAAACGCCATGAAATCTCAACTGCGCTCTCGCACTTCTTGCGTTTAGTGTACTTACAAGCACTCACCTCAAGTGTCTTAGCGTGGGTGCAAAATCTAATGCAGTGTAGCAAAATTATACCTTGTGGCTATTTAATTTTTGCGGCAGTTGCGAAATGAAAAGTTTTGAGTGAAAAAATATTTCAACACATCAATCGGGCGGCGATAATTATACGCCACGCGATATCAAAATGATTGCAATCAACAACAACAGCCGGAGACCATTAATCTTGCACGGTGCGTGCCGCGTATGCGATGAATCCATTAATTACGCCATTTCGCGATTATCGAACGCGGTGCACACAATCAAGCAAATTCGCTTGTTCGTGGCAACAATACGTCGAAATGAAATTAATTAAAAGTTTTACACGGATGGTTCGCATACCGCCCATTGAAGTACCACGCCTTTATGAAATTTTACAACAACCGGCTGAAACTATCTCCAAATATTTCGCAGTAAACATCATAAATATTAATAAAAATGAACTCGTGTGGGGTAAGCAATAAATCAACATCGCAACACACGATATTAATTATTTATCGTATGTGAGAATATTTTAATCACATTGATATTGATATTTGTAGCAAATATTCATCATGCTATATTTAACTCAACTTATCATCATTATTACCGATTACTGGCAGTATTTAACGATGTAAATAAAAGTTTAACGCTCATAGCACTTTCTAAGAAGTTAAAAAACCGCTGATAAATCAATCAATTCGTGCAAATTAACGAATCAAAATATCGGTTACGAAGAATGTGCCAACGCACAGAAGTAGTGTTAATAATTTAATATACATAATATTGACGTTTGTGTGCAAATACATAATAAAGCGCCACAAATGGTCGTAAATATTATTAACGAGCAACAAACCGAGCGCGCGAACGACGTCGAAACGATTTATTCAGTAGCCAACATGTGCAATATTTGAATTTGATTAGAATTGCAAATAAATTCAATCCAGTAAACATTCCTGCAGCAAGCCGAAGCATTTAAAATTTTAAATAGAAATTTTAAACAAGAAATAAATTAATAAATAACAACATCCTTAAAATCCCGGTATACATATAAGCGTGAACATCTTGCAGGAGAGAACGCAATGGTCGCGATGGCCTCGTAAACAATTTATCTGTCTACGAGCAATAATTAATAACGGGCCGGTCGAGTTGTTATTCGTGTGCACACGGTGGTGTATGTGTGCGTGGCGTTTAATTATATCGTTATCTCTTCGCAACTTATAAACCAATGCGTTCGCATATTATCGGGACTATCCGTTGCTAAGCGTTTAAATCATCACGCCGCCGCCGCCCGGCTCGGCGGCAAGTAAGAGCGCAGCACTCTGGCTGCTGTTGTAACATAACTTATCGTCATGTTACGCGCGGCGGGATGGGACGAAAATTCCGGCTAGCTTCGCCGATAACTGAACTTTGAAGTTCACGCGGTAAACTTCTAATTGGCTTGCAGCGCGCTAGCAAAACGCACTCGGTACATGCATTTATCAAATGCGATTATATTAGAAAATCGATTATTGGGTAATAATTCAACATAAAAAATAAACTCTAAATGAAAATATCTCTTCAGGTAAAAGCCTAAATACCTGCATACAATTGCAGGTAACACAAAGAGATGTACACATACATAATGCATGTGTTTTGACGTTGACGCAACGACGCGCGCACCATTCAAACGTCCCATCAATGGATATCGTGTCGGTGTTCGGTTCGCGCGCGCCATGTCGAACAACTGCCGACCAGGCACGCCGCGATCCATCAAGTCCTTTGCGTTGCACGCCAGGATTTAACATTCCGTCGGCGTGGCGCGCCACAAAAACCTATGCAACATTGGCGTTACATTTCTTACAGGGATTTATCAACATGTGAATATGTTCACAGATCAACAGATCAACGCGCTTGTTGGTACACCGTCGCGCCTCGCTAACAACAACCATGCAAAGTAAAAAAGGTTTAACTATGCGTGACTATCACCATCCACTTATATAGTGTTTTGTGTCGTGATATTTACATATCACAAGCGTTTTATTAAAAAGAATCTAATCCGACCAATGAATGAATATTTAAACTCCTCCTTGGAGCGGAAATTTATTGATGGCTTCGTGTCCGTTTTACATTTCTCCTCGACGCGACGCGCGCGTGGAGTGTTATTGAACGTTACTAATTCGATTATCGTGTAATGATTTCGTAATTTACATTTTTATTGTTGATTTAAACACGCCATTAGAGGCGTTTTGAGTCGTCGACGCCGGGCGCGAAAGCTGCTTACGAGATTAGAGGCGAGCAAACAAGTTTTACGCACGCATCATCCTTGTCCGTACGTACGTACGCGTTGTGTGTGTTCTCATTCAGAGAGCTTTTTAAGTTGGCTTCAATGAAATGCGGAATGAGCGTCCGCGAGAGTGTTGGAAATCATTCAGTGATAAAACGCAATTTGTACGATGCGCGTGAATAACAAATTCGTAGAAAGTTGAACGCTCTGCATCTTTTTGACTAATTCCTGCTTGGGTGTTGGATAAATATCGTGGGAAACTTTTAGCTAAACAGTAAAAACAACATAACTGAACACAAAGTAGGTTGACAGGTGATTTTAAACAGAAGATTTTGAACAGAAGGCGCCAGGATATGCGAAAATTCTGTATTACAAGTTGAAAGCGGCGATAATTGACAAAGCTTCATTTTAAATAGTTTAACGCACAAGTAATTATTTTAATAACTCGCCAGTTGTGCGCTGAAAATGTCCAACACATCGTCAAAGTTTATCAACTCAATCTACGGTTTAGTATAGGCGATTATCTTCGCAGTTAATACTCTGGCATAACTCTCTGACGTTTATCGTGTAAAAATAGCTTAAAATTACGTTTTAAATAGAGTTCTCTGTAATTTGCACAATCTGTTCGTCGTTAGGTTGAAATGCGTGAAATAGAATACTCATAATTAGTAACAAAAACT